TGAAATAAATCTTAACAACTGATAAAACTAAGTAAAGGTAAATTGGCATTTCTTGTACTGTTCCTATAAAGTTTGTTAATTTAAATGGTATTGGGAATAAAAGCAAAGGCAAAAAATGTTTGCTCTCTAAAACTTAATGACCTTTATAGCTGAATAAGCTTAGTCTGAATACCATGTATGCCATTTCATAAATGTGTGATTCTGAGAGTAATTTAATCCTTCCAAGTATCAATATTCTCAGTAAAATGGGATAGGAGAATCTGGTCATGCACATTTGTTGTGAGAATTAAAATGTTTGATGTGCAGTACTTAAATACAGTTAATATAAGTAACATATCTTACATCATATGTCTATGTGTGCATATATGTAAAATTATTACTGTTTGCATGATGATTTTAATTTGCCTGAATTATCTAAAACTCTCTTCAATATTTCTCTTTAAGGACACATGACTCAGATTTACTGTGAAAAGATTTGCTAGATGTAGTGTCTTTAAAATATCTAACTTGATCATAGAGTCAAATGTATAACACTTTGAATAATTGCATCTGTCTTTGGGGAAAGTGAAAGGGTTATCTTTATAAGGCTAATAATAAAACTTCTCAGAAGTGTGAACAGATTTGTTTTATAGGTTTCAGTCCTCTCTCTGCAATGATTTGTCAAAACAAAATCTTTTCCCATAGGAAAATTTGTCAGTAAACCCAACTTTCCCCAGCTACTATTTAATAGCCTTTCCCTTTTACAGGCCCATCAAAAACGCAGAAAATCTACTGCATACAAAAAGTTATAATTGTTTAAAAATACAGTTTATGTAAAATTAATATTATTTCTGTTGGTAAAATTACATAAATGATACTAATACCACCTGACACTTTCTAAGCTTCCTCCTAAATTGAAGTTACAGCATTATTGAATCTATATAGCATCTTTTAAGTTGCAAAATTATGAACGTAAAAAATAGGTCAGTGGTTGCCAGAGTTAAGGCTGAGAAGAAAGAAGAAGTTGGAAAGGGAGGCCAGTAGCCATACAAGGTGTGCATGAGGGATCTCGCAGGAATAGGACCGCTAGAATCACTCTTCCTCTCGACTGTGGTCATGAACACACAAACCCAAATAAATGCACACACATTCAGTATCTACACTTGTGAATGGAGATAAGATATACAATCTGAATAAAGTTTGTGAATTTTTGGTCAATACTGGGAAATGAATAGCTTTGCATTCCCTAGCCTTTCTGAACTTTTTCATTTTGAGACAGTCTTACTAAGTTGCTGAATTGCCTATTGCTGGGCTGTGATTTGTGATCCTCTTGCCTCAGGCCCTGACACCTAGCTAAAATTGTTGGGTTTGTCAATTCCAGTGTCCTGCTTATAAGGACTGTAGTGTTGCTGTGGTTTTATAAGATGTTAGATACCACTAGGGAGGGGTATAGTGTGCGAAGGATATGCTATATCTCTCTGTATGATTTCTTCTAACTGCACATGGACCTATAGTTATCTCAAGTTTAATGGGGAAAACATATGACTTAATGTCTTTTATCTAGATGCATTCTTATCATAAATCTTCTAGGCAGAGAAACTGTTTTAGGCCACTTCACCTATTTTAATAACACTTTGGGCTTTGTCCAAATTCCAGGTAGACTTTTGCCTTTTCTAACACAAAACTCCCGGTTCTTCAGCATAAAACAAACATACTGGGCTGAAGTGGATGTATTCGATCTGTCACTTGATAAATGAAGGAAAACATCTCCAGGAAGAGCAGGAGCCGCATGAGTGAACAGTTTCTTGAGGATGCCCAAGGGAAAGATGAAGTCACCAGTCTCTAGCAGGACACCGGAGCGAAGCAGCCTGCCTGGCAAGCCTGCCACCAACGACGGCCATCCTCATGAGTCTGGGATCAATTAAGGGCAAGTGAACTTCTAACCCATGTGAACTGCCACCGTTGAGGTCTGGCCATGGTGATCTCTGAATTTCCAGGGGTTAATCACAGCTCTTAGTGGCTGACAAGGACCGCCCTTCCTTTGTGTACCTTAATGCGCCAAGTTATGGCCTTTGGGGCCCCAGAAAGGATAAAGTTCCTTCCCCTCTACTTTCAGGGTAGGAAAAATAAAGATAAGACTAGAAAAACAACCATGCTGTATGACAGTGTAATAAGTGCTCAATATATATATTTTGTGTGTGTGGGGGTTATTATTTTAAAGAATAAAAGAAGGATAACACAGTAATAGGGAGGGCTTACCAAATTATAGACAAAGTGGTAGGAAATTATCAATGGTTGTTGTTTTATATATTGTTATCTACAAGATAGTTTCTCAGGAAGACAAATAGACAAATAATAGTGAGTTACAGACAAAAGTGGTAGGAGATTATCAATAGTTGTCATACTATACTTTGGTATCTTCAAAGTGACTTCTAAGGAAAATAAATAGAGCTATACATGAGTGACCAATTGAACAATCATTCACTATTCTCAATGGCTGTTGTAGGAAACACATAATGATAAACATACATCCATTTACAAAATAGCATAGGAACAATACAAACATTACAGAGTTATGGACAGATTAGTAGGAAAATATCAATGGCTGCTGTAATACATGGTGGTATCTTCAAAGTGGTTTCTCAGGAAGACAGAGATATGCAAGAAAGATCTAACAAGTAGTTACAGCCTACTTGTGAAAAATAGCATATTACCTCCTCATCAATGACTCCTTTCACTGAGGTGTGACAGCTGGAATGTGCTCGATATATTTTTATCAAATATTTATTTATTTGAAATAAACCTTAAGAAGAATTTCAACTCACAGTTCTTGATCTGTACACCAGAAACAAAATCAACCATCAGTTTAAATGCTCCCTATGTATCAGACATTGTCTTTATATATGAAGCACCAGCCAGTCCTTTCAAGTATTCCATGCAGGAGGGGTTTGTTTGATGAGGCCATGGAGGCAGAGGCAGACTGAAGGACTTGCCAGCTCGCTAAGCCATAAGTGGCAAAGCTGGGTGTCAACACAGCCAGTGTAATCCCCCTGGTGTGATAAAGGCAACAGCCTGCACTGCATCAAAAGAGTTCCAGGGAGTGTCTGTACATTACTCAGAAGCCTGTGTTCAACAGAGCAGGCATCCTTCCTGCTTTGGATATTACCCAGAATTCACATACAGAAATTCAAATGGCATTCTAATAGCTCACTTGATGTTTACAGCTATCCTCTGCTATAGTCATTATTGTCCCAAGTTTATCAGTGAGAAAGGAGTCAATGTGGTCCAGCAGTTTAAAGTGGTAACCATATAGCAAGTGGTGAAGTCTGTCTCCAGAGTTCCCCCTTCCAAATCCAGGTTTGCGTACTACTATCTTTTGCATTTCACAATCAACCTGGTGCTAGCAAGAGTGTTAGTTCACTTTGAAGAGGTGGCCCTAACTATTTCATTGCATTAAGCTTTCTGTGATTCCATTTGTCCATCGTGATAAGAAGCCTGCACTTTCTATCTTAGTGGTTCCACGTAAAGAAGAGACGCGATGGTGCCGGTAAGACTTTGCTTGCTAACCTAGAAGGCACTTTTAGTTGCCATTCCCATTATTATTTTTCAGAATCATTTTTACATCCAGAAAACAATACCAAGATGGGAAGCTCCTTGGATTATTATTTTTTCATTAAAGTCTGAATTCATTTTTCATGTGCTAATTAATTCATTTGTTGCACAAGTAGATTATGAACATTATTCAATGAATTTCACTACACTAGAACTTGTAAATGTAAAAGTAACAACACTATGCCTACATATCATTTGTGAAATTGCAATTGTCCACCAGTCAAGTCTTACCATATTCCATCCTGTTCCATGGAAGAATCTTCCCAAATCTACATAAGTTTAAGTGTGTAGCATTAGTATTGGCATTTATGAATTTACGTTCTGAGTTCAACTCAGTCACTAATTACTACTTCCTAAAAAATGATCACAAATGAGCATGCTTTCACCTTCACTGCAGCTCATGTGTTCTGTCCCACAACTCTCAATTTCTGTCTTTCAAGCTCTCTCTTACACACACACATACACACACACACAAACACACACCTTTTTGAGACTAGGCAGTGTGCTAGGCTGTGATTATTCAGAGATAACACAAAGTCTCATGAATCTCATCAACTGTGCAGAAGTCCCCAAAATTAAGTCAACTGCTGTAATTAGAAAGATTAATATAGAGCAGTTTGCTACTAATTCATAACCTTGAACAGTCACTTAGCCTTTGTCCTGGTAGTCTCTGCTACACTAAACTAGATGAATAAGTGGTTCTGCAAACTAAAAAATTCTGTGTAAAAATGTTTTAAAATTGCTAACATCTAGGGTTTATTTGCAAAATGAGACTAAATGTTTTCTAGTCACCCCAAGGTGTCATGTTACATGCCCTCTCTGTCAGACTCTGAATTTCTTGGCATCTTTGAAAATAACTATCACCTCCTTGTGAATGGAAATATATTCTCCAGAGCTGTTTTCCCAATAACATTTATTTTAACAATAACATGCTTAGTTTGCTGTGTAAATAACTTCACTGATTAGGCAGCCAGTGCAGCTAAACACTGTTGAGTTATAATTATAGCTATATAATTATTGAACAATCTCATAATAACTACAAAAGAATCCCTGTTTGTTTACACAAAGCAATTTAAAACTTGTTTCTTCTCCTTCTCCTTTTTCTTGTTTAAAGGAAAACTGAAGATGATTTTGTCCAACCCTGAAGCCCCAGAGTACAATTAAGGCCTCTGAGCGGGACGGGACTAGCAGGCTCTTCTCTGGTTGAAGTGTGGAGCTAGTGCCATGATTTGTTTTCATTTGATAAACAGAGAGAGCTGTTCTGTTCTGAGACCTCTTTCCCCCACACAGAAAGGGGGTGTTTATAGACAGCTGTGGGGAATTACTCACAGGAGATTTACACAGTGGAAAAAGAAAACATCCTCTTTTCGTTTTGGAGCCGCCCAGCCCACCAAGGTTTACAGACTTACTGGACGGCAAGATGGACTTCGGTTCACTGCAGACTTCTTTGGAGAAGGAGTCCCCACCTGCCAGGACAGCCACAGATCCAAAGAAGGGGCCAAGTTCCGCTGAGGACAGGAGGAGCACAGAGGACCAGGGTACCCCAAAGGGCTGTGCTGCGCAGACAGAGCCAGACAGAGCAGGGCTCTGTTAAAGTGTAACCTGTAGAGTGAAAGTACAGATTGCACTAAGATCTTGGCAGAGTCATTAAACTCCCTCTGAGCCAATGATGGTGATATAGATTTTCTTTCATTTTATATGACTATATGGACATTGCATAAAGAATCTCTTATTTTAAATCTTTCCTCGACTTATCCTTTCTCTGTGTTACATTTAATTGTTTTACCTTGAGCCAATAAAAGGATGCAGAAAATGGGAAATTTTGTTAAACAATTTCAGAGTAATTTCCTCAGTCATGCATCGAAATGAGCGGTTGAATTTTAATAAACCATTTGCTAGCTATACTGCCATTATGTCACAGCTGGGTGTTTCTGGGAGATATTTTAAGTAGGGCTCCTTTACACAGAGCTTAATTAAATTGAGCATTGCTGAGTCTTTCTTCTGTGTTGGTGGCATATGGTAGTTTGATAAGTAAGATAACTTAGAAGTTTTTTAAGCATTATTATGCTTTCTTATTGATAAAGTCTCTCATGATTAACCTGATTTTTTCTTCTTAAAATGTAACTTCCAATACTATTTTACCTATTTTACATTAGTGGATTTTTTTCCTCAGAGGGTTTGTAATTCTTAGGTGAAGATTAGCTGAAATTAAACACAATCAGTGATATTTGTTCCAGAGACCTCATAAAGTAGTTAGGATTTTCTATAGGCCCCCAGGTAAAATGATAAAAAAATACTTTCTAAAAATCTATTTAATTCATTTTTTAAAGATAGCATGCATTGGAAAACAAATGTGACATAATTAGGAAAGCACATTTACAAAAAATGTCACCTTTCCATGAGATTATTCCAAAGAAACTGTTTGCTTTACATAAATTATTCTGGAGTTGAAGCAGAAAGATGCTTATTCAGTTCTCTAAAGGAAATAAAATCAACATCCTAACTTTCAGTTCTTGGTGCTTTTTGATAACAAGTAAATATTTAACCTAAAGAAACAATTCTTTCTTCTGTGTTCCCTTCTTCTAGTCACGCTTCTTTCCACTGCATTCATTCGTATGCTTATGTTCATCTTCCAAATTTATTTTTATTCATATTTTTAAGCAATAAAGACTTTTAAAAATTATTTCTTTCCAGATCTACCTCACCTTGTCCACGTGGCATTTGTCGTTCTTTGGCATGGCTTATTTCACTGACTTATTTCACTGACTTATTTCTCCTCCGGGGCCATCCGTGTGGCTGCACGTGACAATGTTTCATTCTTTTCATGGCTAACTAATATTTTGCTGTATACATAAACCACGCTTCCTAACCCACAGCTCTGTCCACAGACGCCCAGGCTGATGCCAGGCTGATCTTGGCCTTTGTGAGCAGTGCCAGGGTCCTCGTGGCCCGAGCCCGGGTCCGGACGCCCCTCCATCGGTGCAACTGCCAGTTGGGAGGAGGGTCCCGCCTTCTGTGTGGCTGGACCCCCTGCTACTGTGCCATCACCAGAGCTGTTATTGGATGGGAAGGGCGGTCAGGGGCTGGGCGAGGGGGTCAGCGTGTGCGGGTGCCGCTGAGTGGGGAGCTGCTCTGGGGCTCTCAGGCAGTGGAGTGGCCGGGGGACAGCACCCTGCTGGGCGCTGCAGGGTGGCGCCGGGAAGGACTCCGAGCTTTCCCAACCCCTGACCTAGTGCACGAGTCAGTCTCCCCTACCTGATCACTGAGCGTGGTCTGTACATGCCTGTACCCCCTAAATGCACATGATTATTATGAGCAGGTAAAAATGCATGTAGAGCGAATCCAAGTTCAGTCATATAATTGTAGAAAAGGTGGAAGGAGCGCCTTCCCTGCAAGGAAGGGGTTGATTGATTGATGGTCAGTCGGGGGAGCGCCCCACCAGGCTGAGCGAGCCTGGCCCTGGGCCACAAGGTACGGGGAAGCGGAGCGGGGCTGCACGCTGGCCTCGCTGGGGGAGCTGCCCTCTGAGCTCGACCTTGGAGGACGCCGACCTACTTCCCGAGCGAAGGGCTGCTCTGCGGGAGGAGCCGGCCCGCGGGGCCGCAGCGTGGCCTCCAGCCTGGGTGCGGGGAGCTCTGGGCTGGACCCTTCAGCGTCCTCTGCCTGGTCTCAGGGTGGATTCTCTGCTCAGCATCCGTTGGCAGCGCAGACTCTCTGAACTCGGGCCTGGCTGGAGGACTTGCCGCCGCCGCCCCTGCAGTCTTCCCTCGGGGTTCCTGGACTCCGTAGACGGGCTCAGGACTTTGCCCTGGGCTCTGTCCGCGGTTGGATCTGTGTGGGACTGCACAGTGGGGTGCAGGCATGTGGCTGGATTCCTCAGATCTCTAGGCACCCACAGATCTCTTGCACTCTTCTTCGTCTGACTCTAGTAAGCATCTATTAATATAATCTGGAAGAAAAAAATCCAGATTTTTATTTTGATGGACTTTCCATGGGCTTATCCAATATCTTTGCAAAACCTGCCCTGCCCTAATTTTGCCCTTTTTGAAGTCTGCTGAGGTCCTGAGCAGAGCTGGAAAGCAGAACAGAAGCAAGCTAGATAGAGATAGCCTTTAAAATATAATTATCCTGCACTCCTTGGGCTTAAAAAGTCCATTCATGGCTAGAAAATGAACATTATTTATCCAAAAGGTTGCAGCTGTTACATTCTCTTGAGAAAATACAAATCAAGACCTATCCACGCCAGGTTTTCCTGATTGCCTAACTTCAGTGATTCAGATTTTAAAATCCTAAAATAGGCGTTTATAAAGGCAAGGATGAGAGAAGGAGAAGACTCAGACCTGGGGCTAGGGCTCATCGTTGCTAGTTCTCTAACTATAAACCCTTCAGCTACTCCCTCCTGACTTTGCCAGTTTGCATGAGAGTCGTGTTCCAGTCACTACGCTGACAAACATCTCTCTACAGCGCTTTCTCTTGTCTACAGTGGTGGCTATTTCCAAAAACGGGATAACGAAGCCTTGAATTGAATATTGAAACCAGAAAACTTAAGCCCTCAGATAAAAGGAGAGACAAAAAGGAAGAGGAGAAAATAGATTTTCCCAGGAATATTCACATCCCTGCAGATTCAGTTTTCAAAATGGATTTTCTTTGAATAGGGTTAGATTTGCCAACAGGCTATTAGGATATAATACTCCACTCACAATTCTCCAAGAAAGGATCTAAGGTTTGTTATAATTTCCCCATTTTCCCAGAGATGGGTAGAGCCAAGAAGAAGGGTGAAGGAAAGTGGGCAAAAGATTGTAGAATCAGGAAAAAAGCTTGTTGGACCCTTTCCAGTCGTCTTCAAAGGATAACCTCTTCCAAACAGAGCAAACCTTCAGGGGGAGATTATGCAAAGTTCTGCCTTCCAGCACCCCTGAGAACTGGCCACCCCCGTCCATTCAGATTTGAGGATTAAGGGAACTGGGGGAATGAAAGCTTCTATTTATCCACAGCCCCTGTCTAGAATTGTTCTTCTGGGCTGCCCTGGCTGCATCCTGAAGTTTGATTGGTGGTGTGATCTTTGCTTTTACGTTTTTGGGGGTGGAGGTGCATCAGCATTATGTGATAATGTTGTGCTTATTTTTTCCCCGAGGATGCCTAATTGTGTAACTCCTGGCTAGATTTCCATAGCCAAATGATAGAAATCAGTGTTGGAAAAGACCTATTAGGTCATTTTACCCTAGCTTCTGCCAATGAGTTTTGTCTCTAATATGTTGGATGTAGCATCCACCCCTTCCCTTGGGAGATTAGCTTCTACAATCCAATTAGTTCACACTGCCAGCCCATTTTCTCTGACATTCTATTTACAATTAATAGCATTGTTTTTCTTAATGCAATTCTCAAAAATTGAGTATTTATTTTCTCATTGTTTTCAAATTTTAATTCACTAGATAAGCTTTCTTTTATTTCTTCTAAAATATACTCGTTTATTTCTTCCTAGAACCTTTATTTGTTGGCAGTTGTTATTCTTTATGTAACTCTATAGTTAATACAAAGACTGTGAAGGTTTTGAATTTTCCAGTTTTGCACATCTTGTTAATGGGATATATACAGTGGAATTATGCAGAGAATTGAGATATTTTAGCATTTTCATAAAATTTAGCTTTTCCAAAAGTAGGATTTTGGCCCTACTTTCTGTAAGTTTCTGGCAGTGTGGTTAGTAGCTTGAGTTATATCAGCAATTGTGTATCTCAGCTTTCCAGTTGTGTGTGTGTGTGTGTGTGTATTTGCACATGTTAGATTTCCTGCCATAAAGATCCTGGCTCAGATTATCCGCTAAGACAAGCCAGGCAAAGATAAGACATAAGAGGAGAAGAAGAAAAGTATTAGGAATGAGAGACACTTAGCCTTCTACCACGAAACCGTGCTAGCTGAAGGCATGGCCCACGTGTCCCTGGAGAGTGAACACTTTGCCTTGTCTGGTGCTTCCATGAGCCAGAACCCTGGGGTGGGCAGTTCTCTACAGCAAGGCGTGCCCTTCTTGAAATTTTGTTTTTCCTCTGTGTAAGGTCCTGGCTTTATGCCTGCCTTGCCTGGTCTCTCATCTGATTCTCTGGCCTTATTTTGTCCTGCAGATCCTATTTCCTGACCCATTCACCATGTAGATTTAGTCTCCTCCTCATGACCTCTCCCAGCTGGTGAGGCGAAGGGAGGAACCCTGTTTCTGGATCCTGCCCTCTGATTTAAGCTATCTCTTGAGGCTTCTCCACGTCATGATGACCAAAAGCCAACACTTGCCCAAGCTCTACTCTTTTCTACTCCTCATTCCTATGAACTGGTAATGACCGGAGCCTGTTCACGCATATTTACATTTCTCTCTATCTGAAGCTGCAGTCTCTCTGAGACCTTGAACATCAAAAGCTTGAATACTCAGAAATCCAGGAACATAGGAGGGACTGTACAGGCCTCAGTTATGGTCAGTTTATAGTCTCCTCAATTATTTTGTAACTAATATGCCTCCACTTATTCTACTGTTACTTACTGAGCACACTGTATGTGCCGAACACTGCTAACCACTAGTGGTCACCCGCAGTGTAGATGTGAGGAGGTGCCATAATGCAGTAATGCTTCTATGTCAAGGGGATCCTCCATGCACGCATGCAGAGACAGTCGTTTACTGGCAGTGC